ATAGTCGGCAGACAGCTCGACGGCTCGCAGGGGTCAGCGAATTTCGATCATGAACTTTCTGCGTTGCCGCCGCTATAGAACGGTCCGCGCCTTGTCTAAGCAATGAATTGCTGCTGCGAGGTCAGGATAGCCCGTTCACGCCAGTCGAGTAGTTCTCCACTTCTCGATGCCACTTATTAAATATCGCACTTTTGCGAATGCTTTCAAAATCTTCCTATCTCCATTCAGTTTTCTTCCGAACTATTCTGCTCGAGTTCCACTGGATGACTTGCTTCTTCAGGATGTTGTGGTCTGCTTGACAGAAGATGCGTTCTGTGTTCTGCTCCGCCGCATATTTCTTCATCCTGTTTTTGACCTCCTTTGTCGTTTCCGAAAAGTACCATCCCCATAGGTGCCATTTACGCAGTGTACAATACCATCTTTCTCCGTTTAGGGTATGATCCGTTTCCTGTATAGAAGCCGTCTCGTTTGGCGAGTTGCTGACCTTCTTTATTTAAGATTTTGTACGTAAATTGTTTTATACTTTCGCTTTGTTCACCTTTGGCGCTTGCTATTCTGAGATTTTTGTCCTGTCGACTGTTGCTTCTGCTTTGTTTCCAGTAGTCTCAGTTGAAATGTTCTTGATGGTATCCTTCGTTTAGTTGTTTTGCTTCAGTTTCATAATCAAATTTTTGTTCTGCTGCTATCGCAAAGCGTCGAGGCGTCGCATTGTCATACGTTTCGTTTATACACGGTCTGTACCAGTTTCGCTTTTAGGATATCAAGCGGAGGATAGGAATCGAAATTGATTTAGCTTGGTTTAGACTAGTTTCTTATAAACACTGATTCCTGATGATTTCTGATCTCTTTATGCTAAGACGTTTACAGAGAGGAGCTGGACTTCATGTGTGAATTGAGTATCTTCCTCACGTATGTAATACAGATGTTCTCCAAACTCGCTGGAATGGTTACGTCCTCGTGGATCATTGTTACTCAGGAGTAGCCTCTGATTGCACCCTGCCTCTGGCCTTAGTTCCGCTGATGAAAACATGATGTCTTCAGCTTGCTCAATGCTCTAGAGGTACGCGAAGCCAACGTGCTCTTTGGGTTCGGTGGAGTAAGTGTACATCGATTTACTAATGCCCTTCGTAACAGGAGATGTTAGAGCATAGTTGCTCCTTATATTCATACAGTATGTTTAACGAAACGTCCTATTCAGCGTTCGTATTGACCGCAGATTCGACGTTCGCTTGCTCTTGATTGAGCAGTAGTTTCAGTTTCGTACATCAGAACCAGTCAGACTGCAGTGTGGTGTCGTTAAACAGAATCTGTGCGTTTACTGCTTGTCAAAAGTAATAAGTGCTGTTTTCACTCTCATATTCATGCATCTTGAATTGACTATGACGAACATTGCCTTTTAGAATTTACACGTAATTCAAGCCTGCGGAATATACACGATGACCGAAGCAACCATTGAGCACGTTCCTCCGGAGCCTGTTCTGGAAGTGCCTCCTCCTCAGGAGATAAAGATCCTGGAGACGGCGGAAGACATTCAGGTTTGCAAACAATAAACAGTGCTCATACCTTTTTGTTTGACTAGCTGCATGTCGCGTCTGTCATTTCAGCAACGAAGGTCTGAAGTACTCGGCCATTACAATCTGTTTCGAGAGTTAGCCCACCAGAAACGCGACCGACTCGAGGAAGCCAGACAGTTTCAGTACTTCAAACGCGATGCCGACGAGTTAGAGCTGTGGATCTTGGAGAAATTGCAGACCGCCCAGGAGGAGAATTACAAGGACCCGACCAACCTGCAGGTGATATATCGTTTTTCATTCATTCACGTTTTTCTTAGGCGTTTCCACACGGCAGAGAGCGAACCTTTATTTCCTCGTACCTTTCTCTGTCTTCATAAAGAACCGCTATTTCTTTTGTGTCGCTGGGCAGTAGCTTCAGGAGGTTTCTGTTAGAGGCGTAATTATTCGATGAGTAGAGCACTTTCTTCCGAGTGATTTGCAGCATTGACCGTGCCAAGCATTTAGTGCAGGCTTCGTTTGATTTCGATCTGCCATTTAACTTGCTTGTTAGCGCGCTTTGCATTCCATTAAAAATATCCTCCGAGTCAGTATCGAACAAGAAAGATAGAAGCCTGTACTCAGCCCTTCAATTCTACTGTCTTGGCAGCATTGTTGTATTACTGTGATACGTGGTCACTCACTAAAGCTGAAGAGCGCCAGCAATCTGTCAACACTATAGCCGTGGAAAGATTGGAAATCTCAGGTCGTTAAACACCCACCAGGGTGATCAGACAGAGGAAGAGAGTGAAGGACGTCGTCAACGAAAGCAGAAGGAAAAAGTTGCGATGGGCAGAGCTGTGTGCTCGACCCACGGACGGAACTACTCAGCGATGACCGCGGACTAGTACCTTCGCGGGCGAACTAAGCCTCTTGGTCGCCTCAGCACGCATCGGGAACATCATATCAGTTGGTGGCGAGCGAGCATTTGCCATCTCGTGGTTGGAGACATACGTTCTTTTATAACTGGTCGATACTCATTCGACTGCTTGATTGGAAGTATGTATTTTCATTTTGTAGCTGGAGTATCATTTGTATTAGCCTGGTGTCCTAAGGTGTTAATGTTGCTCACGTTTTGTCCGTTGCAAGACTGCTTCCACTTGATTATTTTATTTTCGAATTACTTTTCGCCGCTTACGTGTGGTCTGATCTTGGCGTAAATTTGGTAACGTTCCCGAGCGACCGTTTTTCATTCTTATCTTTTCAGCGTTTAAGGTTTTATTTTTTGATTCAGGCAAAAATACAGAAGCACCAAGCATTTGAAGCGGAAGTCCAGGCCCACAGCAATGCCATTGTGCAGCTGGATAAAATCGGCAACGATATGATCTCTCACAATCACTATGCTTCGGACGTAATCAAGGTAAACTCGTTGTGCTATAAATGTGGTCTTATTTCTTACCTGTTTATTTTCCAGTTTAACAGCTTGCGGAAGTAGTCTTTTTCAGTAATTTGAGGTTGCTTAGACGTATGGTTCAAAAGCTCCATACTCAGTATGTTTTGTCTCTAGAACTTGACAAATATTAAGGTATTTCGTAATGGTGAATTCCAAACATGCAGAATAAACGTTTTCTCAAAAAACGCTTAACAGCGACGAATTCGTGGTCGATTCTGTTAAAAATTTCGGTCAGATCAACCTGGGCTTATTATTGTTTCACGGTTAAACGACTGCTTGTTTATTAAGCAGACCGAACCAGGTTCCCATGAACTTAGGTTTGGTCAACTGTTGCGAGAATTTACCATTATACATGTATATTACGTTAAAGCATTTGATACGTGTTTCAAGCTGTATTAATCGGCGGTGATGGTTAATATGCTAGCATACGATTTAGCAGAAGTCCGGAGTTAGGTTTGTGATTGTTTGACGACTTATTATGTTTTGGTAATCGGAAAATATTTAGAAACGATTGGACGAACTGCATCAGCTATGGGAGCAACTGCTGAAAAAACTGACCGAAAAAGGTCTGCGGCTGCAACAGGCGCTGACTTTGCTGCAGTTTACTCGTCAGTGTGACGAAGTGATGTATTGGATAGTGGACAAGGAGGCGTTCGTGCTAAATGAAGAGTTCGGACACGACTTGGAACACGTCGAAGTTCTTCAGAGGAAGTTCGATGATTTTCTGAAGGTTACTCACTGTCACCTCATTTACAGGCCGTTCGAACCGGTTCTTTGTTTAGGATCTGAACAATCAGCAGTATCGAATTGCTGAGGTTAACGTGACCGCAGATAAGCTGATTGCGGATAGCCATCCTGACGTAGAAACGATACAATCAAAGCGCGATGTGAGTATCGATTCATTTTTGCTGCTCTGTCTCAGAATTTATGCATTCTGCTTTGGAGTGAGTTTGAAACGTAGGTCTTCATATAGTGCTGAAGTTTTATGCCTGGAATTTTAACGAACTCGTGAATTAGTGAATGGCTGGTGGCCAGTCTGTTATTTTCAAGCTCTGCGCCAGTGGCTGGAAGGTTTCATCTTCCTAGCCTCAAAACAGCAAATGAGTCGTATGGTAATTCGAAGTTATGAATATATGCGAAGGCCAAAGTTATGGCCTCCGTATGAACCAGTTCCCTTACTGATTCTCACAGGAAAAATTTATTAGGCCAGCGGCATCTTGCCTTTGTTGATGGTGTTGCAACAGAGGCATGTCGCCTTACAGTTTTGTTTTATTCAGTACCTGCATATTCATTATTTAATTATGTCCACGAATCCTTGCAGTAGTGTGCTGACAGCGTTACTGAAAGGCTGTAATCAGCGCTTGTCGGTTATCGGGTACAGTCACTATCTTAACATAAATAGGTGGAAGCGATGGTGAGTTGTTTTTCGGTCAGTAATGGCAAGGACAAAATCGCAAAATGCCTTAAATGATGTCGATAATGCAGTTATATCATGAAGATCTTGAAGAAATTACGGCTTTCTGCTGAATCAAAAATTGGTCAGCTAAAGACTAGCAAGGCCAATAAGTGATTATTACTGAACCGCAGGATCAGTATCTTATTGCACATGGCTGCATATTAACTAATATTCAATCAAACTCTGGTAGGCAGAGCCGTTCTCAGACGCCTGAAGTACCGCGAAGCTTCGAACTTTCATCCCTCGTGTTGGCTGCTGCATAGCCAGCTGTTGGTTAAAGAACGGCCTCAGTCGCATGCAGACTCGTTGTTCAAACACCTGCAGATACATAGTTCAATTATGGCCGGTGTCATGAGGATTTTTTCCAGAGTGGTAGATTGTTCGCCGATTCGCGAGTCAAGCTTTAACGTTATAGATGATAATGTTATTTCGTGAGATGTTCACAAGGACGGTATTCGTGATTTGAACCTGAGCGAGGGCGGATGAGGTCACAGTTTTT